TTAAATCAATTTCAAAGTCAAAATTGCCAGAGAATTTGTTTGCATATGTGGCTATATCGTATAGAGTAATGCCTAGAGAGAGCAAGGCAGCATACGTTAGTGTAGTGCAAAGGTTATGCATCCAGTCGTAGATCCAGTTATCTGGCCGTCTATCTTTATGTCTACCAAGCCATTCGCCGTTCGTAAAAACTTCCAATTATTTAACATTTCAAGCATCCATTCAACTAGTCATCTATCCATCAAGCAGCTATGCAACCAGCCAACTAACCATTGCATCACCCCACGAGCCATTAATTCATCCATTGCTCCGTCCAACCGTTTATACAGCAGCAAAAAATGCACTCATCGTCCATACTTTTAGCCACACAAAAATTTTATCAACGATCCATCCACAAAACTATATATCCAATCAGTCTTCCATCCAAGCGGCATCAAAATAACCGTCCATCTAACCTCCCAGTCAGCCAAAAATCCTTCCACCCAACGAGCCATTAAACCTTCCATTGATCCATCCAACCAACCATACAGCAGCAATCAATGTACTCATCGTTCAGCCTTTCATTCACCCAATTATCTTATCACCCATCCATCCACAAAGCTATCTATCCAATCAGTCATCCATCCATGCGGCATCGGTATATCCATCCATTTAACTACCCAGTCAGCCATACATCCATGGATTCAAAGAGCCATTATTTCATCAATTGATCCATCGAACCATCCATACAGCAGAAATCTATGTACTCATCGCCTATGTTTTCAGCCACCCAAACATCTTATCATCCATTTATCCACAAAGCCATTCATCAGTCAATCATCCAGCTGGCATCAATTTTTCTATCCATCTGAATAACCAGCCAGCCAGCCAGCCACCCATCCAATCAATCATCCAAAATTTTTTGTCTAATCAATTGTCCAACCATTCAATCAGCCATCCAACCATCAAACCTGTTACTTCCAGCTATCCGTTCAACAAAACGTCCATCGATCTAGCTATCCAACCAGACGTCCAGCCATCAGTCTTTTTTTCGTCCATCAAGCTATCCATCCATTTAGACACCTAAAAATCCAGTCACGAATCCATCCAGATATTATTTTAGCCATTCAGCCACCCATGGTTCAACCCCGCCAACCATCCATCCCGTCATCCATCCTTCATGCCAACTATCCATTCAGTCATTTTTCAAGCTATTCAGCCCAGCATTCAAGCTTTCATCCATCCATCTAGCTGAGCGTCATTTAGCCGACCCTTGTCCAACCGGCAAGTTATCCGTCCAAATATCCTTTTAATTCTTTTTCTATCAGTCTTCCATCAACCCAACAATCCAACCAACCATCGATTCATTCTCTTATCTAGCCAACCTTCCATGCGAAAAAACTTTCCATGTGTCAAACCATCCATTCATCAAACCATTCAAGCATCATAGGGCCATCTATCCATCATAAAATCATATATCCATCAATTCATTCTTCATTCATCAACTGTCCATGCGTGTGTGAAGCCAAGATCTATATAACCAACATGCTATCCATCAGTCTGATCGATCCGGCCATCCGGCTATCAAGCCATCTATTCATCTAGCCGTTCATTCAACTGTTCAAACCTTGAGCCATACATTCATTCAATCAAGTTTTGATCCAAGCAGCCAGTCATCAATCCGTCCATTCATACAGTCAGCAACCGGTTAGTAGATCTAGCTGTGCCTCCGTACTTCTTTTCAATTAACGCGCAGCTCAACTTTTAGTCTAATGAAATAAATGTGTCACTACACATAGAAATGGCTATTTATAGATAAAATTGGCTTAATCTCGGAATATTTAAATTATCTATGACTACTACCGTACTTTGGTTTCAGGTACTTTACGAGAATTGAACTATCTTTTTGTCACAAAAAAACATTATTACATTCACCAGCTAATCAATTAATCCGATTGTGTATTTAGAATTTTGAAACAGTGTGTGTGTCGATTTTTATATGGGTGGGGAAGTGAGGAAGTACTTGGGCAAATGAGTAAGAAGTAAGTATTTAATTAAGTAAACGAGTGAGTAAGTAAGTAAGTAAGTTAGTAAGTAAGGAAGTAAATAAGTAAGTAAGTAAGTAAGTAAGTAAGTAAGTAAGTAAGTAAGTAAGTAAGTTAGTAAGTAAGTAAGTGAACAAGTAAGTAAGTAAGTAAGTAAGTAAGTAAGTAAGTAAGTAAGTAAGTAAGTAAGTAAGTAAGTAAGTAAGTAAGTAAGTAAGTAAGTAAGTAAGTAAGTAAGTAAGTAAGTAAGTAAGTAAGTAAGTAAGTAAGTAAGTAAATAAAAAAGTAAGTAAGTAAGTAAGTAAGTAAGTAAGAAGTAAGTAAGTAAGTAAATAAGTGAGTAAATAAGTAAGTAAGTAAGAAAGTAAGTAAGCGAGTGGGTAAGTAAGTAAGTGAGTAGGTGTTTTATAAAGCAAACAAAGGTAAGTAAGATAAAGACAGGCAGAGTAAAGTAAAGAACGAACGCAAAATGCAGTGAGCACATTAAAGTAAATTCAAAAAGGTGTTGTCGATTAAAGTTGATTCATGGAAAAAGTTAAGCGAAATGAGTAGAAGAAGTAAAATTAGGCAAATTAAAGTATGCAAGTTGATTTGTCAGTCTGTATTTATCCAAGTAAGTGTGTATGCTTGTTTGTATGCATGTAAAAATTATTTAAGTTAGTATGTAGGTAAAAATTATCTCAGTTAGTTATTTAGTAAGTATGAAATTATTTAAGTTAAATCATGTGAAGTAAAGATGTGAAAAAAAAAATAAACAAAAAAGTACAGTAAAATGAAATAAAATAAATTAAATTGGAGAATGAAAGTAATCCGATAACTGAAAAAAACGCGAACAAGTTGAATCAAAAGTAGAAAAAAAGTAGAAGTTAAAAAATAGGTAGAGTAAAAAAATTAGGTGAGGAAGTAGCTGAACAAAAAAAAGTAAAAGATGAGTGGGACAGAAAAAAATTGAATAATCAAATCAGTTAATAAATGGTAAATAGGCAAAGGAGAAAGTCTGTGTGTATTCCTTGATTTACTGAGCGGCTCAATTGAAGGCTATCCAAACATTGAAACCGCTCTCAAGGTCAATAAATAAAAAGAGACTGCTCAAAAATTACTGATAGGCCTCAAAACTCCTATTATGTTTCTGGCAGAGGAAAAATAAATTCATCCGAGATCAATGATTCGTGGACATAAATTTGGGTGGGCGTGACAGAGCGTGAGACTGCGAGTTTTCGAAAAGTATCTGCCAAAGTTTATCTAACATTGAGTAGCTAAAAAATTCATTGATAGACTTTTGGTTTTCTCAAATTAATGAGAAGAAAGAAAACGATTCCACTCAAATGTCCCAGAAACCTATCGTTATAGTTCCCGGGCAAATTGTAACAGTAATTGGGACCCTCTTGGTAAAAGTCAATAAATCCGGCCGCATCGTGCAAAAAAGCGTGCAATCAAAAATTTTGGAGTTTTTCATGTACTTGTCCAAGGAACAGTTATCAATACCAAACGAGCCACCAAAAGGTCTCGACTATTTAAAATGTCGTAATGAAGTTTATCAGAAATAACAAAAAACAGAGAAAAGACAGCTACAAATTAGTTTTGTCGGTTAGAAATATCAGGATAATTTTACTTCAAAGACGTATAAATTCCGTTAATTGTTTTTCATTTTACTGCCTTTTCACCAAAAATATAGCTCGAATTCAAGAACTAGTTTACTACTTTCAACAGTAAAGTTACGCTGCCAAAATTGGCGGCGAATTTTTTTTATTTATCATGAAAGTCAATTCCACTTTCACTAACAAATTTCAACTAGGTCGAAAATTCAGTTGTCCGAGACAAATATATTGATTGATATGATTCATATAATTAACCAGGCCCAATAATTAGGACCCCAAAAACTGGAATTTCAATTAGGTCGAAAGTTCATTTACGCGAAACAAATATGACTATTAATATGATTCATATAATTAACCAGGACCAACAATTAAACCCCAAAAGTTGGAGTTACAAAGAATTATGTATCGTGTCTTAAGTTGTTAAGCTAAGCTTAGCAAGATCCTAAGTAGGTGGTCTTCTGCTTTTTGGGTGGAAAATTTCGTTCGGTTACAAACTCCTAGGATGAAGGTCCTCCAAAAAAATAAGGGCTCCTTTCCTAGGTTTTTGCTTTTCGTGAGGAACCCACTCCATAGTGAGGACACCCCCTTAGGATCCGGGACACGATACAACACTACTTTATATGAGGACCCCGCACCATAGGAAGGACACCCCATTAGGATCTGGGACACGATACAACACTACAACACGAACTGGATGAAGCGATATGATAATACATAGGAACCTCTTGCTCAATCAACCTTGTTCTACTCAAAATCTTGCTTCAGCAAACTGGGCCATAATGGCATTAACAGCTCAGATTGTTATCAGTTCGATGCAATCAAAAAATTAAAAGATTTAAATAAATTTAAAAATAAAACCAGCAGCGTAGTCAGATTTTATGAGTTTCTCTCAATGAATACATGTATAATTTGAAAAGTTGCTTTTTTGCAATAGTTTATTTTTCAAAGAGTGTTCTACCATCAAAAAAATCATGTATGTTGTAGTCTTTCTACGATTGAGGTCTATTGTTGCAAAGATTTTTTCGCAAAAAAAATAAGCAGTGATGTTTCTAAAACATTCTCTTTAAAAAACAAAAATTAAGCCTCGCGGCTCGCTAAACATTTTTTGCAAAAATAAAAAATAAGCCTCGAGCTTAACAAACGTTTTTCGCAAAAATTAAGCGTCAATTTTCCCCGAACTTTTTTTGCAGAATAACAGAATCATTATCTCAAAACAAAACTAGTTCGAAAATTTTTGAACTTTTGACACAACTTAGTTTGAAGAAATATAAAATACTGGTCGTTAAAAAATGACTTCGTCGCAAGTAAACTACACTTCATCAAAACTATTGCTACCAAATTTAGACAATAATTATTATGACTTCTGGGCATTTTTTTAAGGTTGATCAAAAGAAAAGTAAGCAAGCTGGCAGAAAAAAGCAACATGAAGGAAACGGCAGCAAAGGACGATCCAAGAAACAACCCAAGAAACAACCCAAGAAACAAGCAGAAAAAGGAAGAAAAACGAAATCGAAGAAGACGCAGAAGAAAAATAATGAGGAAGATATAAAGGCTGAGAAACAGCGTGATCTGACAGTAGCAGAGGTGGCCAGGGTGTGGTTCTCAAACGGTCAAGCTGAATACTTTGCCTCCGATTGTGTTATTTCATAGTCTGAATAAAAAACTTTTTTTTCAAATACCGAAGCTGTTAAATTTTGCCGAAGTAAGTCCCGTGTGTTCTTGGTTGTTCGCTAATTTATTAAATTATTCAAGAAAGAGGATGATATCATACTCAGGGGCGGATCTAGGATTTTCTCGAGGGGGGGGGGCGGATCTTCAAAAAATTTTCGAAAATTTTGACGACCTTTTTTTTCGACCAAATTGATTTTTTGAGCTCTTCCAAAGCACTGTTTTGCCCTTATTTTTTTGGCAAAATTTTCTGCGCCGCCTGCAAATTTTTGAAAAAACAGTAAAAAAAAAGCCGTTTTTGGGCAATTTTTGAAAAATTTCCAAAGGCGCCTTTAGAAACATTTTAGGGTCGGTCGCCCAAAAAGAGGGACCCTTTGGGTCGGCAGGGGGTCGAATCCCTGGGGGGGGGGGGGGGCGGACGCCCCCCACCCTTCGCCTTAAATCCGCCCCTGATCATACTGTTCATTTAGAAAAAAAATTATTATAATTAGTAGACTAGTAAACATTTTGGGCGCATTTTCTCTCTCACAAATTGCTATCAAATACAATCACAAGTCGAACGTTTTTTTTTAAACTTCCTTTCTCAAAAATGCTTTAGAAGTTGTTCATATTCGTACAGTTCGACATATTCTTCTAAGGAAGAAAACTTCAACTATGAGGTTCCAGTAAGAAGATTTTCAGCAATTTTAAATTATCAGATGCATTCTTCTCATATCATCAAATAAAAGCATTGAATAAAGGTCATTGATTTCGGGGGAATCCCTGATGCGCGATAGACCGAATGCGCTAATTCATTATTTATGATTTCAAAAGAAAAAAGCTGTAAAGTCAGTCAGTTTTGGACAGTTTAAAGAGAATTGATTTGCTGAGAGTTTTCGGGTCTTATGCGTTAAGCGGCCCAAAAATCAAAATTGAAGCAAAATGAAAACTAAAACTGAAACTGATCATGATTGGCTAATATTACATTTTTAAAAATTATGCAGCGCACTTCTATATTCGTTTTTCGTTAATTTTTCCGATATCTTCATCATTCGACTTTTATTTAAGAAAAGGCCTAATTGTTTAGATTGAAAGGAGGTTTTTAGCACTAACTGAAACGAAAAAGAAGAAATTGGTCAAAAAAGTGACTTAATTAAAGTACCGTGAAAAACAATTTTATTTATTTTCATTTATCATTTTTAACAAAATAAAAAACATTTTTGGGTTGGATAAGTGGACAAGTAAAATCCACAAACACTAGTTTCGATTTTTAAAAATCACATGAGGAAAAATTATCCCAGGTATCTACTAAGCTGAAAAAAATCAACCAGTTTGACTCAAAAAATTGCTGAGCAAGGTTCAAAAATTCAAATTGGACAACAAATAACCAACTTTAGATTAAAACGTAGAAACGCCTAATATGCGCTGAACTTTGCATCTCAATAATGCGAAAAAGTCGATTAAGATGGAGTTTATTTGTCTTTATCTATAAAAAGTGACAAAAAAAACAATTAAGTTGATTTTCAGTGGACTTTAATGCTTTCTTAAATAATAGCAGTATAATCCAACTTTAATTGAATAAAATCGATTTTTTTTTCAATTTTATAGACATGAACAATAAGCTTCAAAGTTAATCACTTTTTATCCATAAAACTCCAGTGCGTGTAAGCTGGTATCAAAGAATTGAACTGTCAGTTTTTGGACCATCAAATTATCAAACAATCAACAAACCGAGCTGGAACGAAGTTATAATTAGATGTAAATTTGAGATACAAATTTCATCAGAAAGTTTGCCGATATTTTAAACAAGAAAAAATTGTAATTTATTTCGTTCTTGATTATACATGGGACAAAAGTGACCCATAGTTACAAATAAGCTAGTTATATGAAATTTATTAAATACATTTTAACAGTAATGTTTAAGAAATTAGACGACAAGCAAATTAGACGACCAGAAAATATCGGAACTCATACAATAACTTGCGTGCAAATTGACTGAAACTTCTTTACAGATTTAAATTACTTTTGGTTGAGTAAATACTAGTTGTCCAACTGGAAATCAGATTATTAATGTCACTTTTCTATTATTTATGCATTTCGAATATGTTTATTACTTTTTCGATTTAATGTTGTTTAATTAACTTACGATAATAAAATTGATCAGTTTTGTGTCATACAGTCGTTCAGTTTTTGGATAAGATCATTCTTAATATAAATAATGTCAACCAGTTCTGAATCGTCTAAATTCACAATGAGTTATCGTCTAAATTCCGTTTTATTATGGTCGTCTAAATTGAAGGTCGTCTTATTTCCTAGACCCCTGTCACAGTTTATACAATCAAAAATTGCAGTGAAAATCAGTTTATTTTTCGTGAGGCAAAAATTGTTAACTTTATGACATTTGTAACCAGCAACAGTTCGCACTCGACGACAATTCGTCACAAAGGGTTTAGCGGCAAACACTGATGCTGACGAATTTTTCATTCTTTGATTAAAACTCAATTCAGTTCTTACGGAAAAAATGGAAACTTAGGGGACAAAACCAATTGATTCCTCAATCGCTAAAAATTGTCTGACCAATTTGTCAAAGAATGTCAGAGTTTCTCTAACTGAAAAAGATGTGATTTTGGAAGCAACGAATTTTGATCAGAGCTTACAAATTTTTTAAATTGTTTTGCCAGAACATCATTGACAAATCGACAAAACTATTCACTACTTAAATTTTTGCTCTGAGTTTCTATTCTATTGAGCAATTTAGATGCACAGTGAAGCCGTTTTCTTTTTGATAAAACAATAAATTGATTCAAACGCAGAGTGTAGTTTCTGCAGACTTAGTACAGGCCAAACAAAAAGTTTCACCGAAGTTGATAATTAGAACACCTAGAGTTATTGAAAAAAGTCATGACAATTCTCAGTCATAAAGTTAATTAAATTTCATTTAAAACAGGTTATTCAATAATCAGGTTCCAGTAAAAAAAATTCGGTGAGTTGTGTTATCAGCAAGGATCACCATGAGGGATCACATTGAGTTTGTCTTATTGCATTAACTAATTGCACAGAGGTAATTGAAACCGATTAAAAAGAGACTAACAAACATAAAAAAAATTTCTGCTACAAATAAAAATGCGACCACTGCCATTCATGAAACGAACAACCAGGAGGTT